CTGGAGAGATGGCTCAGTGGTTAAGAGCATTGCCTGCTCTTCCAAAGGTCCTGAGTTCAATTCCCAGCAACCACATGGTGGCTCGCAACCATCTGTAATGGGGTCTGGTGCCCTCTTCTGGCTATACACACAGACAGAATATTGTATACATAATAAATAAATAAATATTTTTTAAAAAATGGGGCTGGAGAGGTGGCTCAATGGTTAAGAGCATTGCCTGTTCTTCCAAAGGTCATGATTTCAATTCCTGGCAACCACATGGTGGCTCACAACCATCTGTAATGAGGTCTGCTGCCCTCTTCTGGTCTGCACACACACACACAGAGTATTATATACATAATAAATAACTACATAAATACATAAAAAAATATTAAAAAAGAAATGATCCTGGGGCTGGAGAGATGGTTTACTGGCTGCTCGTCCAAAGGACCCTGGTCCAAGTCCCAGCACCCACATGGCAGTTCACACCTGTCTATAACTCTAGTTCCAGGGCTTCTGACCCCCTTAACCAGACATACCTTCAGGCAAAACACCAATTAACATAAACTTTTTTAATTAATTAGAATAAAAAGAATCCTCTGTTGTGTGGTAGGGAGTTGATCAAAATAATCTTGGTCCTTATTCCTGTTGGTAACATAATTTATGTTAAATATTTTTGCTAAATAGTAGCTTTTTCCATTTTTTTTCTTAATTTTTTGTTTATTTCTTTGATTTTTGAGACAAGGTTTCTTTGTGTAGTCCTGGCTGTCCTGGAACTTGCTCTGTAGACCAGGCTGGCCTCTGCCTCCTGAGTACTCAGATAAAAGGCTTGCACCACCACTGCCCAGTTCTTTTAATTTGTTTATTTAGGTAAAGTTATCTGTAAAATTTGAAATAATATTTTAATTTCTTTAGCAAGTAACATTTTGCTTAACCTGTGTCTCTCGTTTTTTCTAACAACTTTTTATTCAAGGGGTTGGTGCTATCTATATCCGGCGTAGGCCCCGGGTGCGTGTGGAGGCCCTACAGAGTGGCGGCGGGCAGGAGCGGGGTATGCGGTCTGGGACAGTGCCCACACCCTTGGTGGTGGGGCTGGGAGCTGCCTGTGAGTTGGCGCAACAGGAGATGGAGGTAGGTACTGGAAAGACCAGTAGTTCCCCCTCAGAATATCCCCCTGGACAGGATCTTCCATTCAGAAACATCTCAGCATTGCTGAGGCCAATCTGAGGCCAATCTCTGCTGGAAGAGGAAGTCTGAGGAAATCCTGTCTTTGAACCAAGTGTGGCATCTTTTCCTCGTAATCCTAGCTGCCTAGGAGCCTGAGGCAGGAGAATTTTCAGTTCAAGATTAGCCTGGACTACATAGCAAGACTGGATCAGAACTGAAAGTAAAGTGCTGGGTCAGCAGTAGAGTGCTTCCCTGGGGTGTGCAAGGCCTTGGGCTCAGTCCCTGTAAGTAAATCTGTGTGCACGAACACAGTTAAATAAAAACCTGCCTTGCCAAGGTCCCACAGCCCCTGGTTCTCGAGGAGGTGATTGAAAACCCACACACGCCCCGCTTGTACTTACCAGTCCATCTTTCTTTTTTTTTTTTTTTTTTTTTCCCGAGACAGGGTTTCTCTGTAGCTTTGGAGCCTATCCTAGAACTAGCGCTTGTAGACTGGGTTGGCCTCGAACTCAGAGATCTGCCTGACTCCCGAGTGCTGGGATTAAAAGTGTGAGCCACCACCACCTGGCCAGTCCATCTTTCTCTGGGTTGTTGGAACCTTGTGTTCAGCTCCTGTTCACCTTTTGTACACCAGACAGTGCTAGAGATGCAGCTGTCTCCACATATCCCAAGCATTAGAAGGGCCTGTGTGGCTCACAGCTCTTCTGGGTAGAGAAGGGCTTCTGGAATTCCTTGTCGCCGAGCTGGCTGGTGGGCACTGTACTTACTTCTCTCCCACCTACTCCTTAGTATGACCACGAGAGAATCTCTAAGTTAGCAGAGCGGCTGGTACAGAAGATAATGAGCAGCCTTCCAGATGTGGTGATGAACGGGGACCCCAAACAGCACTACCCTGGTATGGATATGCCCTTTCAATCTGTAATCTGTTTTCCTTCTTAAATTGTATTTATTATGTGTGCATGGGGGATGCCTGCCACAGTGTACTTGGGGAAGTCAGAGGGCAACTTCGTGGGGTCAGTTCTCTCATTCCATTCTTATATGGGTTAGAGAGATAGAACTCAGGTCATCAAGCTTGTGTAGCAAAGGTGTCACCTGCTGAGCCATCCTGGTGGCCCCTCCTCAGCCCCACAATTCTGGTTTGTTTGTTTGTTTGTTTGTTTTAAAGATTTATTTATTTGTTGTGTACACAGTGTTCAGCCTCCATGTATGCCTGCAGGCCGGAAGAGGCTCATTACAGATGGTTGTGAGCCACCACGTGGTTGCTGGGATTTGAATTTAGGCCCTCCAGAAGAGCAGTCTCTTAGCCTCTGAGCCAATCTCCAGCCCTTGGTTTTGTTTTTTAAAAAAAAATTTTTTTTAGCTAAAAAAGTGTTTTGTTCGTTTGTTCTGTTCTGTTTAGTTTTGTCTGAACTTGCCTCTTTCGCGCCAGGCGTGTCTACCCCAGCTCTGTCTCCAGCTCTCAGACTCCGTTCTGGCAGAGACTGAGACCCAGAGCCATCGTCGTGTTCTCTCTTCTTCAGGCTGTATCAACCTCTCCTTTGCGTACGTGGAAGGGGAGAGTCTGCTGATGGCACTCAAGGATGTTGCTTTGTCCTCAGGGAGGTGAGTCGTACCAGGTAGTTAGCTTGTCTGTTGAGTACCCTTCATGACACTGAGCTTTCTGACGGTGGTAAAGGTCACTTTTTAGCTACCAGCCATGGGCTGACTTCACCATTCTATCTGGTCTCTCTTGGAGGACTTTAAGACCTAGAATATGTATGTATCTTCTTTGTCTTGAGACAGGATCTCTCTATGTATCCCTGGCTGCCCTGAAACTCTCTGTATAGACCAAGCTGTCCTCAACCTCACATAGATGCTCCTACCTCTGCTTCCTGAGTGATGGGATTAGAGGTGTGTGCCATTATGCCTGCCTGAAGATGTATGTGTCTTTACAGTGTTAAACAAGCTGTTTGTAAGCCAGACACACATTGTGTCTTCTGCTCTAGATGCAGAAGTTTCTCTGGCTCTTTTGTCAGAGCATGGATCTGACATGCTCTTTCACCTCTTGACAGTGTCCTTGCTCAAGAAAGTTATTTGCTATAGGTACCAGAGGGGCTGGGTTTACATCCCAAGATGTACAGGGCATCATCAGACCCATGACATTCCTCTGTCCCCGTGGTGTGATTCCAGAGCCCTGGGAGGGGTGACTCTGGCTATGTCCTATGGGCTAAAGGTTCATGTCTCCATCCTTAGTGCCTGCACTTCTGCATCACTGGAACCCTCTTACGTGCTCAGAGCAATCGGCACTGATGAGGATTTAGCACACTCTTCTATCAGGTCAGTGCCTTCAGCTAATGCAGCACCTGTGTTCGTCCCTTGTTTGGTGAGATAAGATATTGTCCATTACAAAGGCTACCCTTGATCTCTGTCCTCCCATCTCCAGCTCCAGAGAGCTGAGATTACAAGTGTGTGCCCCCATGCCTGGTTTATGCATTTTGGAGAATCATACATGATAGGCAAGCTTTCTTCCTTCGAGCTATCTCCCTGCCCCTTTCTTGAATATTGGTGAAGATGATGTCTGAGTCCCATGCTCAGATCCTCTGCCCACCACATCTGGGGTAAGCGTAGGAAACTTCTCAGTTGATTCTGATCCCAGCTGTGCTCTAGGAAGCTTTTACCTAGAAGGTAGGTCTGAGCTCTTTTTCCTCTTCCTTTGAGCCCAGCTGGTTTCCCACCCACTCTGCAGCCAATCAAGGATGACCTTGATTGTTCTGCCTCTGCCTCCCAAGTGCTGGAGTCACAGAAGTCACCTCCATGCCTGTTTAAGCAGTCAGGAATTGAACCCCGCACTTCATGTGTGTTAGGCAAGCACTCTACCCACTGAACCAATGGCATCCCTAGCTCTCTCTTTATCTGTTGTTTAGTAGGTCCTCAGTGAGTACTGGCCAAAAAAGAAAACCAAACCAACCCTGGGGTCAGGTAGAGAGCTCTTCTGTGTTCTCTTAGGTTCGGCATTGGCCGCTTCACTACCGAGGAGGAGGTGGACTACACCGTGGAGAAATGCATTCATCATGTGAAACGCCTCAGGGAAATGAGGTACGGGCTACTGCAGACGATGCTGCAGAGGAACTGTACTGTCTCCTCACTGTAGCAAGCTGCCGAAACCCAGGTTCAAGGAGGATGTAGATTTTACAAAGGAAGGAAGGAGAACTCCCTGGCTTCTTGTTTTTCAGGTTTTTTGTTTGTTTGTTTGTTTGTATTTTGAGACAGTGTTCCTTTGTATAGCCTTGGCTGTCCTGGAACTCACTCTGTAGACCAGGCTGGCCTCAAACTCACAGGCATCGGACTCCCTCTGCCTCCTAAATTTTGGGATTAAGGATATGCAACACCACCACCTGGACTGGACTGTTTCCAAAATGCAGTCCTAGTGCAAGCCTTTGATCCCAGAGGCAGGTGGATCTCTGTGAGTTCAAGGTCAGCCTGGTCTATGTAAGCTAGTTCAGGACAGCCAGGACTGTTACCCAGAGAAACCCTGCCTAACAAAACAAAACAAAACAAAATCCTAGGTGTTTTTTTTTTTTTTTTTGGTTTTTCGAGACAGGGTTTCTCTGTGGTTTTGGAGCCTGTCCTGGAACTAGCTCTTGTAGACCAGGCTGGTCTCAAACTCACAGAGATCCGCCTGCCTCTGCCTCCCGAGTGCTGGGATTAAAGGTGTGCGCCACTACCGCCCGGCCCTAGGTTTTTATATGTAGCACACAGATTGCTTATCTAACATCAATAAAGGCCCTGGATTTGATCCCAATCATAAAAATAACAAGGGAAGGGCTGGGGTTCAAAGCTGGGTGGCAGAGTAGTTGTCAAGAAGGCACAAAACCAAAGCAGGAATCATGCCCAGGTCTGAAATCACAGCTCTCAGGCTGCAGCAGGAAGATTGTGAATGAAACCTTTTCTCAGAAAGAGAAACAAAGGATGGGCTTCAGTAACACTGAAGAAAATTAACTGGAGAAACAGAAGCTGCAAAGTCCAATCGTTGGGTGTAGGGCTGTAACTCAGGAGAGGAGATGGCTGAGTGTGGGTTTAATCTTCAGTGGCAAAACTAAACAAAATTGGCGCTCTCACAGCTACTACCCTCAGAGTCAATCTGGTTTTAAGAACATTATCCATTAGAGCACATCTGTCTTCCAAAATTTTATAAATATTTTTTTCATAAAATGTAAATTTTACATAAAAGTGGTATCCCTAATAAACATACATATAAGCAACATTATCCACAGTCTTCTCGGTATCATTTCCTGTATAAGAGTGGTGCTCAGGGCTGGAGAGATGGCTCAGCAGTTAAGAGCATTGCCTGCTCTTCCAAAGGTCCTGAGTTCAATTCCCAGCAACCACATGGTGGCTCATAACCATCTATAATGAGGTCTGGTGCCCTCTTCTGGCCTGCAGGCGTACACGCAGAAAGAATATTGTATACATAATAAAAATAAATAAATATTAAAAAAAAAGAGTGGTGCTCAGGCCTAATACCCAGATGTTCTTCCGGGTTAAAGCCATCGATGGTATCTTAAGTTAGGGAGAGGCTGGAAAAGGCTTGTTTGTCTCCTGTGTTGGGGTTCAACAGGGCAAAGGCAGAGGAGGCAAATTCTTGCTTAGGGCTTGAGCGCCTGTGTTGGCTGCTTCTTGTCTGAGTCCTTACTCACTCAATGCCTCTTCTCTTTGGCAGTCCCCTCTGGGAGATGGTGCAGGATGGCATCGATCTCAAGAGCATCAAGTGGACCCAGCATTAGAAGAGTGGACCCGTGACTTTGTGCTGACCTGGCCCTTCCTGCCTCACTGACCCGTGTACAACCAGGAACCTTGTTACATGCTGAGTGGTCCATGGTCAAACCAGAAATCGAGTAGCCCTGTTGACTTTACCACACAGAAAGTTTCCAACTGAGAAATTCCTGGAAGTATCTTTCCTAGCCTCAACCTCTTCCTCCAGAGGAGCTCTACTGTTGCGATTGGACGTTCTTAGCTGGAAGCCTGGAGGCGCTGGCAGGCCACTCCCCCTAGGCGGACCTGCTGTTGGGGAGGTGGAAGAACTGCTGAAGGCTCTGTGTTCTGTGTCAGCATCTGGATTGGCACTCTGCTCAGCTGGACTGGCACCTGTAGCAACTAGCGTAAACAAACTTTATTTTAATCTTTTTTTGTGGCTTCAAAAGACATCTCTTTACATTGACTGCAGCCAAAACAAGTTTTATTAAAGGCTTGTTTGCTTTGTGTTCTCATCTTCCTTCCTTTGTTTGTTTGTTTGTTTGTTGTGACATGGTTTCTCTGTAAAACAGTCCTGGCTGTCCTGGAATTTTGTAGACAGGCTGGCTTCAAATTCACAGAGATCCACCTGCCTCTGCCTCCCTAGTGCTGGGACTAAAGGTGTGTGCCACCACCCCACCACTGCCCAGCTCATCTTCCATTCTTTTGATTTAATGAAAATAGAAATATCCATTTGATTCTAATCATTTATTTCCTTAAACTTTGTTAATTTGAAGATTGGAGAAATAAATTTCCACCCCCCCCCCCTTTATTCTGTGAGCTTTCTAGACTCTGAGGGAGAAGAACTGCTCTTGACAGCTGTGGAGGACACCGTGTCCTCCACCTGTGGCCCGTGCATGGCTCATCTGCTTGCATACCTTTTCTTCCAACAACTAAAAGGATTTGCAGGACACACACTTTATTCTTGGTGTCGGGAATACATTGGTTAATAGGACCAGAAAGAACAGTGCCCCGTGAGCTTTCACAGGAGAGGAGGGATGGGAAATCGGAAGTGAACAAAGGCTGTAACAGGTGTGACTGGACTATTCTGAGCAACAGTAGAACTGTGAGAGTATGTGTTCTAGGGAAGCTATTCGGGGCTGGCCTAGGGGTTCTGTTGCTGTGAAGAACCACCATGACCATGGCAACTCTTACAAAGAAAACATTTCATTGAAGTGGCTTGCTTACAGTTTCAGTGGTCCAGTCCATTCTTGGCATGACGATGGGCAGGCAGGCATGGTGCTGGAGAGTTCTGGAGCTGAGCTGAGCATCCTGCATCAACCGAAAGCAGGAAGTGAATGCTATATTGGGGGTGGCTTGAGCTTCTGAGACCTCAAAGCCCACTTTCTAGTGGCACACCTAAGCCAACAAGGCCACGCCTCATAATAGTGCCACTCCAGGTCAAGTGTTCAAACTTGAGTCTATGGGGGTCACATGTAAGCAAAATACTGTGAAGAGGGAGTGATCACTCCTCAGAAAGGAGGAGGAATAGCCTGAAATAGAAAACCCAAAGAATGCCGTGCAACTCGGGTGGATCATCTGTGTCTGAACTCAGAAGTAGATGTTCATTAACCCTCAAAAAAAGGAATATATGTTAGAATAGGGGCCAGGTAGTGGTGGCGCGCACCTTTAATCCCAGTGCTCAGGAGGCAGAGAGGCAGGCATTGTGAGTTTGAAACCAGCCTGACCTACAGAGCTAGTTCCAGGACAACCAGGGCTACATAGAGAAACCCTGTCTCAAAAAACTAATATACAGTTTTATATAGGGGCTAGTGAGGTGACTCAGCAGTTAAGAGCACTTGCTGTTCTTTTTTTTTTTTTTTTTTT